CTAGCCCTCTCTGTTGTGGCTGTATTGTACTTCATCCTGCTAAAATATTATTTAGATTAAAAAAAAAAAAAAAGGCAGCTTTACATATTAGTTCATTTTTCATCTGAATAAACAAGTTTTCTTTACAGTCGACTGTAACACAGAAGTACCCTGCTTTGTCACAACGGAAGGAATGAAATAAATCTGCTGGCTCTCACTGACTTTATTAATTTAAAAGAGGCATTATGAACGTAGTCCAAGGCTGGAACAGCAGCAGTCAAAAAGTACAACAAAGTGCAGAAGTGTCCTTTGTCATTCAGAACCTTTTGTGTTTTTGACAAGGGACTTTGTAATTGCTCCAGTAGCACAGCACTAATAGAAAGCAATGCTCTGAAGTTAAAACACTTACCAGAAACTTCCTCTCATCAAATACAAGTTCACAGAAGTTTTGAGTTCTTTAGATGACAGATGTGGTGGAAAAGCCTGACAGAAAAAGCAATACTCCACCGTGTGGCATAGGGTGAGAACTGGCAGAACCCTCCTGCCAAGTCCTGCGTTGATTTGGCATATAAAGTATAAATTCATAGTGGATCAGAGCAGTTTTCTTGGAATCATGTTCTGACACATTTAAAAAAAAAAAAAAAATTAAAGCAATTTCACCAGAATATGAATTGGGAGTAAAAAAAACCCTTTTGGTTCCTTATTTAACAATGTAACTTGGATACTTGGAACAGAATTCTTCTTGAATTGAATTGACTATTTACACATTTTTAATACGTTATGTCACACTTCCAAAAAATAGAGAAGCATTTTGAATTGACTGAAAACATTCTGGTGGAGAGAGAAATTTCTTTTAAGAGAAGTCTGTGGGTTTCCTGCTGTTCTTACGAAGATTGTGGGGTTTCAAAAATTTCCTTAAACTGAAATTTTACCCTTTGTACTCTGGGTTTATGAAGAGATTCCCAAATATTTTTTTCTCTTTTTTTTTTTTTTTATTATTTTTTTTTGTTAATTCCCTCTCTCCTAGTTGGTTTTCTACACAATTCATTGAATTGCCTTAGACAATTTTCCAAAGTGTGGTCCAGTAAAGAAACAAAATTCTAACCATAAGTAACTGCAATCATTAAAAAGAAAAACACCCCAAAAAATCCTGAAGTATCAGAATATTCTGTACTCAAGTTTTCCTAACCACTAGAAATATTATTTAAAGAATAGCTTTTTTTCAGTGGTAAGAAAAAAGCGTCACCACCAAAATAAAAGTGCTACAGAAAATTAAAATATAGGAATCTTTCCTTTTTACATTTATCATTATAGAATTAGAATCGTTAGATAGAAAAATGCTGAGAGAAAGAATCCTATACCAAATTTTCACACAACCTTTATGATATGAAGAAGTGCTGCTGGTACCAATGGTCCCTTGCTGGTGACGTTGAAGTGCCTCGCTGTATCGCAACCTGAAAGTGTTTAAGACTGAAACTTACCTCAAGCTTATTGAGGACTCTCAGAGACATTGCAGAGATATTCAGTCTACTTTTCCTCTTTATATCTACAGCTACTATTCAGCTAAAAATTAATGATATAGGTTTTTTTTATTTCTTCATGAAAGAGATCTGTCTTATTGATGGTATTTAAATTCCATCCAGTTCATTAACATCTTTCAACTACCTTTTCTTTCAAATGTAATTCAGAAATTTGATTGCCTGTCTCACAAATACAGTAATTACTCTTCTATCTCAAAGAGTTGTTCATAAAATGAGAAAACAGCCTTTGCAGAAAGGACAGTTGCTGTACTTAATTAATAGGAAGATAAAAAGTTATTTGCAACAGCTTGTCCTCACATTCAACATCATAATATTTACAGAATGGAGGATAGGTAAAGTGAGAAAACTAAAGCTCATTTTTCTTACCCATCTTTACCTGGGGCAGTCGGCTCTAATTGAATCAGGTCAATTGAATGGCTTGCTACAAGACTTACATCTGAACTTAACCCTGTTCTAACTTAGTTACGTGTGAAGTCATGATGAAGGACAGAAAAATCATAAAACTGTGTCTGTAAAAACTGACAATGGTGGAAAATTGAGAAACTTGATTTTCAGAACCGTATTTTTGTTCACATGAATGCAGAAGACAAAGTATCTTCTCCCTATAAACAGACTAAGGCTAATGGATGCTGAAGAGTTTTTGAAAGCTAAATAGCAGAATAGAATCAACATTAGGGTAAGAAAAATAGATGCCTTGTTAGAATGAAACTATTTCAGTCCTTTCATAGCCAACCCTAATAATCCTGAGAGCATCAGATCACATAAGCTCTTCATAGATATATGGAAAAAAAATACAACTCCAACAGTTTGGCTACGCAACTACCCCCGTGCTTCTTACAGCAAAGGTCTACACTGTCTGAGGGCTATCAAAAGTTGGGATTCTTCCAAAGGCAAACTCTTTATTCAGAGGCAGATTTGATCAAGGCTCATGGTTTCCAAAAGGCAGCTAACTTACTTAGGCCCTTTGAAAAAAATCCTTTCCCTAGAGCTCGTCCTCTGGGCGGTTTGGGCTGCATATTTTAAGCAGGAGAAATCTGCCAAGTCAAAAGCAAAGAATTTGTTTCTAAGCAAAGCGAGGAAAAGACAAAGAGCAAAAGTTAATGCTGCAGATCATTTCAAGCTTCAGAGAGTACAAGACAATTGTTTTAATGAGGGCTAAAAATACTTCCTTCTAAGAGCACTTGCTCTTCTGCCAAAGGCGCACAATACACTGAGAAGTATGTTTGCAGAATCGAAATATTTATAATTCTACAAAGAAGCAGTTCCTGCTTTAGAAACTTATAGCTGGTTAAGTTGGAACTACAGTTTTCACAATACAGGCAAAAGATTATCAACCACAGACAGAAGTGAATATTTACTTTGTTGTCAACAATTTTAAAACACTAGGGAAAAGAAGAGCATATATTTTCTCTGGATCACCTGATAGTTACATTGGTGTAACTATCAATATAGTTATAGGACAAAATACAATTTTATTTCCTAGCCTTCTCTTTGTTATGTGACAGAAATTAGTTATACTAGAATGAAAATAAAAAAAAATAAAAATAAGAAACATAAGGGCCATGCAAACAAATATGAAGTCACTGGAAGCTTTACAAATGTTTGTTCTCTATACTCAAAAATCTCAGCTCAACTCAAAATTCAATACAACTCTTCATTTGTAGTCCAGAGGAACACAAAAAGCTAAACATCTATAATAATTAAACTTCATAGAAACTTTTATGCGAAGTGTCAAGTTCAGCTTCTTTCCTTTGTCAATTTGAAGCATTGGAAAATCTTTTTTTTTTTTTTTTAAAGGGGAAAAAACAGAGAGAAGTGATTTAAAATCATGAATAGAGTAACAATTCACTATTGAAAATCCAAGTTTTCTTGCCATATTTAGCTAATGCTGAAACAGTGACTACAGCAACATCAACAGCGCAGCTGTGAGGCTGCCAATACCAGCTCCAACTGTGAAAAGCACTTTTCTTCAAGCCTTTTCTTCACTTTTCCCCTTCCAAAGACACAAAACAGCAGCAAACCAGCAACTGCTTCCTACAATTGTCAGGCAATGGAATCTAAAATTTTATTTTGTAGCACAATTGCTATTTTGCATATTAACCTAGCAAGAGTTTAATGTAACATATTACATTTAATGTAACAATATTTGCAACATTGGAGCAACATCTTGCTCAGAAATCATGCAGTTCCTGCACTTAATTTATTTTTTAATTGCTCTCTTCTGTTGTAAGCCAAGAAAGAAAATTTTTAAAAAATTATACAAGAGGGTCCTGGTCATACTTGTGTAGCAAAACCCCCCTGCCTTTAAATAAGGCCCATAACTGAGACAGGTTACATTAGGGTCTCAGAAAATCTGCTTAATGCCACCAAAACTCCAGTTTGCATAGTTTGTGAAATTACAGCAGGCATCCTTTTTCCGTAAGAGAATGGTAAAGTGCATTCAAAGTGCTGAAAAGCATTTATACTCTTTATGTTACTTGAGTCATTAGTTTCAACTTCATCTCTTCCCCTCGGAAGGTCTCCCTTCTCTCCACGCTGATGAAATGCTGAACATTGGACAAAACTCATGATGCCACAGGCTGGTTCTATGACTGTTGGGGCTTGGCTCATGCTGCAGTCACTGACAGTGGGTCTGCTGGAGATGGGTTTCCCTTCCCTAAAAGGGAAAGTGAGCTATAACAATTATTAAGGACTAAAAGATAAAGTCATGTGACTCTTACAGTCTTTGGTTCATCTGCAATAGCAAATGTTTCCATCTTCCTCTTCCCATAGCCATCAACAATATGCCATCCTATATCCTCCATACCTACCCACCCAACGTCTTCCCCCTACATAAGTTTATTAAAAAATAAAAAAAAAAATAATGAGGGGGAGAGCCAACCAACTGCTTTATGCGTCTGTATCTCAGTGGTACTTCATTACGCCAGATTACATTAATCTTCTCCCATCTTCCCTGCTTCTCTGGATCAATTGATCATACTGTTCTTCCTTGAGTACCACAAAAGGTGTTTTGAAACACCCAAGACGCTAGAGTTTGCTTAACCTTTAAGTCAGAGCCTCATTCACAGCACTCATGGCCCCTTACTATAATTAAAAAAAAAATATCTCAGCCCCCTGGGAATTGAGGGGCTGAATTTCACTGAATTTCCCAGAACCCCAAACGTAAGCCTCATCTACTCTTATAAAATCCAGACACTGAGCAGCAAAGATGGAATTAGAGTAGCAAAGGCCACTGGTCTTGCTACTGGTTAATGCGTGGAACCAGGAAGCAGACAGAGGTGATGCACGTGTTGCTGTAATTACATGCCACTGTTCTTCTGTGCCTTATTTTCCAGTAAATAAAACAGGCAGATATTGCTTCTATCCCATTTCTTCTGTCACTTCTTCAAAAACACCCACCTGTAGAGCTGCTGGTGCACATATGCACACAAACATCACCTCACCCAGCAGAGCAGATTGTTCAGTAAAGAAATATACACATACATTTTGAAAACAGGATTTTATTGGAAGCATAGCAAAACCGTCTGAAATCTTATTCAGGAAAGGCACTTCAGACTTTGTCCCTTTTCTTTTTAGCTTTGGGTTCTTGGGACAGCTGAGATAGTTCCATTTCTTCGCCTTCCTCACAATGCTTTCTTTTCTTTTTCTTTGACTTTTTATGGTCACTTTGGTAACCACTGGAGTCACTGTTAGGCAGTACATGTTCCTGTTCTTCTTGCTTATCCTTTTTCTTCTTCTTCTTCTTCTTGCTTTTATCATCACATAAACCATTAACAGCATCAACAGTTTGCTCTTCTGCATTTTCCATTCCAGCGTTATCCGTCTCACCTAGAGGCTCCCCTGTGACATTGAGCCCCCCAGAGTCGTTCAAGCCATTTTCTTGGTGGTCAAGCTTTTGAATTTCATCTCCATTTGTACTGTCAGTAACTGTCACAGGCTGTTTGGGCCGCATGCTGTAAAGAAATATACAAAATAAGCAGAAGTAGAGACATCTAAGTGCACCTCACCCAGTGAAATGTCAGAATTTGCTAAAACACAGCATTTACAGCAAGTAAATAAAAGGTAAGCATTTGCTAAAAAAAACCACAACAAATGGAGAACATGATCCTGTAGTTAAAATCAAAAAGCCAGCTTAATACTTTGATGGCAATTTCTATTACATGACTAGCTTCAATCAATATTGAATATATTCAATCAATATTCTCTTCCAAATCTTTGCCTAAATTTCTCCCCTAAAATGCTGTATAGCCCATTTTGATATTTCCTTTTTTCTTGTACTTCTTCATCCATAAATTCAGTTACACATTGTGTAGTAAAGCTTTTTTAAAATTATTCAGAAACATGCACAGCCAACGGCCTGTTCAACCACACATGAGACACACTGTGGGTCTTACCAAGCAAACGGCTTGCTTAAGTCTATAGTTAAAATAAAGGTGATGCCAGAAAAGTCAAAAAGAAAAAAAAAGCCCCAATAAAAATTAAAAAATCCAGCAGGTACCTTGCAACCCAGAGCACTGGAGAAAATATCCAGGAAGACAAATATGGAAAGAATGCAGTTAAAAACCATGGAGGAGGAGATGTCCCCAGAGGCACTGAGGACAAAATCATTACGTTTCATTGTAAGTTCACTGAAACAATCCAGAACATCCTTCCAGATTAAAAAAAGAAAAACCAAACAAAAAATGTTATGATTCTGTCAGTAGTAGTACAGTGTGCGTTTGTGTATCTAAACACTATTGTAAACATTGTGTTCAGGAACTGGAGTGTTTTCACTTCAAAACCCTATGCACGTTCATAAACACATAAACATTTGGGAGTGCTGTTTGGAATATATTATTATTTAAGCAATCAGGAGTTCATAGCTCAGCACACTCAAGATTTTTAAAGCTCAAAAAAAATATCTAATTTTATTTTTCCAGAGAAAACTTCCATGCAAGTCCTTAACACTACAAAGTTTAGTTTAAGATAACACAGGCGATATATAGACGTGGGCATGTGTAAAAATATGAAAGCTTAAAGACTAAGATGTTAATTCAAATGATTTAACTTGTAACAAAGCCATCAAAACAGTTAAAAATATTCTCTAGTAGGGCACAATACCTGCTCTTAGTGAGTCCTCCTCGAATGAAGAACACCCCAGCTGCGTCAGAATCCAAGTGCAACACTTGAAATTTCAGTTCATCCCCTATTTTTAACCCCAGCTCCTGCCACTGTACAATTGACATCTGTTCAGGTTTCGGGATCGAAGCATTGAAGCATCCATGTATCAGACAGCCAATATGACTGGGGGCCACTTTATTAATTATACCCTAAAAAAGAAAAAGAATGTCACACGAAGCTACAGTAAAGATCACCCCTTTAAACGCATACATGGTATACATTTAGTTTCCTATATGGACACTTTTCAAAAAGTGGCACAAAAGTTTGCACAAGTTACAAACTCAGTTTATCTAGCAAACAAGCTAACTCTTCTTCACTAAAATCAAGGCTGTTCCTACATACTCTCCATACAATTCCTCCCAAAATAGAAATGAACCTGTATTGGCAAGTGAAATAAAGTCAAAACAGGGGATTTGGCCACAGTGAGTACCTGAATAGAACAGGTAACTCTTTCCTCCAATGACAGCCATCAACTTTGCTTTAAAGCCTTATTTAAGTCTGATTTACTTGCCTAAAACTGCCTTCAAGGTGGAACAGCACTACTTAGCAGCTAAAGATAGAGATGACACATTATCAAACGTTATTCACCTTTGTTTTCCCCAAGGCTGAATGAAAGCCTGAATGAAAGACAGTGAAGGTTTTTCCATTCTCTTTCTAGCATGAGGACACATTAATTTCTCAATCACAATTAGAAAGACACAGGTTACACTGTGAAGGGTATGGCCCAACAATGCATGGAAGCTAACTCTAAGCTTATTTTTCCAACAAGTACTGAAGCAAGGGTGTCAACAAGCTTAAAGTTGTTCTGTGAGCCACACATCCTGTTTTACTGAAAGGTGGGCTTCAACCTCATCTACTGGCTCTTGTACTTGAAGGAAATAAACTCCTGAGAGCATCCTAAACATTCCTGCCACTGTTAAATAAGAACAAACACACCTATTTGAGAATTATCTGGTCTTCAGAAAGAAGCATTGGTATAAATGATATACAAAATCATGACATGGTATTTAATAACAGATAAACCTTATGGGCCAAAATTTATTTAATATTTAATCTAACAAATACAGGGACAGATAGTACAGATAGATGAAAATAAAAACTATTACTACAAACTGCTAATAAACTACTGTAAACTACTCATAAGTGAATAAACTACTAATAAAAACTAAAACATTTAAACTAATATAAACTAAACTAAACACTCCACCTAAATGCCAGACCGTGCTGATGACAGAGACAAGCCAAGCTAGGATCACTTAATTAAAAAAAACACAGATACAGATTTTTATACAGAATACAGATTTGTATACTGTATACTTGATACAGAATTACATGGGGTTGGAAGGGACCTCTGGAGATCATCTCCTCCAACCCCCCTTGCCAAAGCAGGTCAACGTCAACACCAACTACCTACCACCAGCTTTTTCCCTTTTTTGGGGCTGAAGATGACGAAGTCCGCCTCGATGTTCAGGTGGATGAACCCTTGGTCGTCGTAAATGTCCCCGAGCTCGCCCACCACCTTGATGTTGTCGTAGGCCACCGGCACACCCTGGAGGCTGGAAGGGGAGGGAGGGCGGATGAGGGGGGGGGAGGACACCGTTAGCTCTTAGGCCCGAGACAACCACCACCGGGCCGGGAGGGGGGTGCGGCGGGCCCAGGCGGCGGCGCGGAGCCCCGGGACGGGCCGACGCCTCCCCAGAGCCGATCCCCCCGTCCCCGTCCCCGTCCGCACCTTTCCGAGTAGCGCAGGAGCTCGGCGTCCAGCTGGGCGCGGATGCCGGTGCGCTTGCGGCCCAGGTAGCGCGGCGCCAGGGCGACGTGCCGCCGGTGAGGCGCCACCACCAGGCAGGAGTAACGCCGCCCCACCAGCCCGCGGGCCACGGCGAAGGAAGGGACGGCGGCGGCGGGCAGCGCCGGGGGGAGCGGCGGCGGGTCCCCGGGCACCGCCATGCTGCCACGGGCGGAAGCGGCCACCGCGCACGCCGCGGCGCGTTGTGATGACGTCAGGAGCGCGGAGTGACGGGATCCCGGCCGCGGGAAGTGACGCACTTCCGAGCGCCGGGGACGGGGGTGTAGGGCCTGCTGTGCGGCCTGGTCGTGTCGGGTCCCGGGCAGGCGGCGGGCCCGGGGGAGGCGGGGAAGCCGCCCCGAAACACCGCGCCGGTTGTTTCGGTGTCAGAGGACCCCGGGGCTTGTGGGTGTCCGGGGTCGCGACCTTCCAGGCTCCTGCCGGCCGCCTGCGCCACAGCCCCGGGCCGGTGGGGCGGCCGCTGGCTGCACCTGGAAGGAGGGGTTTGTCTCCACAGCCCGTCTGTGCGGCCCATGGCGCAACATTTACCGCCTCTTCAGAGTATACCTCCGAGATCGGCATCACTTACTCTTTTTTCAAACGACTTTGCATCCAAGAACCGGCCCCTTCCCCCCCTATCCCGCACGGGGGTTCAGTTACTCCATAAACCAAAGTCAGATGTTTGGTACTGGAGATGTAAGACTGTGTTACAATGTCATTGTAAATTTGAGTTGAACATACGATGATTCAGACAAAAGACACGACATGAAATTACCTTAAATGCTCTTCTTCATATATGGCAGTTCTAAGAATCATAGAATCGTCTAGGTTGGAAGAGACCCTTGGGATCATCGAGTCCAACCATCTACCCTACTCTACAAAGACTTCCCCTACACCATGTCCCTTAGCACTGCATCTAAACGGCCCTTAAACACAGCCAGGGATGGTGACTCCACCACCGCCCTGGGCAGCCTGTTCCAATGCCCTGTCACTCTTTCCGTGAAAAATTTTTTCCTAATGTTCAATCTAAACCCACCCTGTTGGAGCTTGAAGCCATTCCCTCTCGTTCTGTCACTAATTACCTGTGAGAAGAGACCAGCACCAACCTCTCTACAGTGTCCTTTCACGTAGTTGTAGAGTGATGAGGTCTCCCCTCAGCCTCCTCTTCCTCATACTAAACAGTCCCAGGATGCGGAGTCCGTTTTCTGTTGCTAGGGCCTAGGTCTAATTTGTGCATATAACGAGCAATTTCGTAACGCTTATTAACCACATACTAAAAGAAGGAGAAAAAAGAGAAAACTTAACAAAAGTCATCAAAAGGGATGCAGGTGAACTGTACACTCCAATGATTTATTTCCATCTAAACACGGGGAGGAACTTTGAGGGTGGCAGAGCCCTGGAAGAGGCTGCCCAGGGAGGTGGTGGAGTCTCCTTCTCTGGAGACATTCCAAACCCACCTGGACACGTTCCTGTGCAACCTGCTCTAGGTGGACCTGCTCTGGCAGGGGGTTGGACTGGATGATCTCCAGAGATCCCTTCCAACCCCATATCTTTCTGTAATTCTGGGATCTAAGAAGTGAGACACATGAATAATAAGAAAAAAGCTTGTTTTCCTGCTGTAAAAAATGTAACTTAATGGCTGATGAGTGAAGACTTTGCCCAGAAAAGTCAGTCAGGCTTTATATAAGCACAGAGTTGCACAGTGTTGCCTTAAGAATTAATTTTAACCTGATTTAACCGAACTGGTGCAAAATATTGAAAAAGTATTCTTTCTTTGATTTAAATCTCATATCGGCTTGTTTTGGTAAATGTACACTGTCAAACTGATTGAATCCACGTGGGGAGTTACAAAAATAATTTTTTGATATATCAATCTTATTAAAAGTGTTAACATTTCTTTACATTGTGGAGGCTTCAGAAACACTGTTCTATAAAAACAAGCCTTACATCAGATGACAGAAATCCTTGAACTCCCTATAAAATGTTAAGTGATGCAAAAGCCTTTGAAAGTACTATATTTTTATAGATATTCTTTGCCTGAACGCGCTGTGAAGACAGGACATTGTTAGTTTTCACACGTAAACCAAACAGTATAATTTGCGGTACTTTACTCAAGCTAAGTTGGATTAGTGTGAAAGAACTGACATAAAAATGGCTTTCAGATGTCAGACTGAACTTGCAAAATTAAAAATGTCTAGAACTACTGTAATCTGTATTCTCTTGTGGTTTTAATCCTCCAAGGTATTTTATGTCTGTTGAAATTAATTGTATTCTGTATACTCTCAGCTTTTTGGAAAAAATATCTGTATTTTTTATTTCATCTCTTCAGATCATATTTAATCCTTGCAATGTGCTTTCAATCTTGGTTAAAGACCTCGTACAACAACTGCATCCACTTCTATTTCTAAATGAAGTATACATTTTATAACTCTTATTTATGAGTGGATTTAGTTTGCAGTGAGAACATACGATGCACAAAGGGTTACACTCAACTTTATCCAGGATAATAAAAAACTAACTCTGTTCCTTAAATAATAACTCTGAACAAGATGTAAAGGCGGCTTGAATGAAAATGTGGGCTTCTGTCTTTCCCCCTGTAGGCAGGTTGGATGAGTTGGTGCCAGAAGGGTTTCCTCCCTCTGCTCCTGTAGGAATCCGGGGTTATCCCTGCGGACTTCTGTCCCCAGAAAACTCCTTACACTTGCGGGCTGTACCCTGGAGCACGCAGCACATGCCCTCTCAGGCAGCCCAAGCAAAGTCTTACTCTGGCAGGCTGCAAAATTTTTTTTTGCTTTGTGTCAGGCACTGTAAACTGAAAACCTACAGCAAAATAATAACATCTTGAAACCGAGAGATTCTGTATGGGGTCTACAGAGGACTGGGCTACATCTGAACGATGTGGACAAGGCCAATGGTCTTCAAAGAGAGTTGTGTTTTAGCATCCACTCTGTCGCTTGGCCTGGAAGCCAAGAAAACTCCACTCATAAACTAAATCAACTAGGCCTGGAAGCAGGCAGATGGTGCTGTGGTCACGTGTAGGTATTTTAGTTGAGATCAGGTCTGCACTTTCTAATTGAATCTCCGTTTATTCCTGCTACTGTGCCTTGGTTTTCATTGCAAAGTGCTCTCGGGTCTTCCAGATCTTCTTTCAGCCTAAAGTAACCTGGAGAATGAAATTTAAATCCTAATGGTCACTAAGTGTATGGGGTCAGGCTGATTCAAAATAGCCCTCTTGAAACTCTTTTCATGAAGATATCTGGTCCCAGCACTAGGGTTTTTTTCTCTGTGAGTCCACACCAGCTGGGTCACACTGCTTGCTGATGCAACACAGCCTGTCTGGACCAAAAGCAGCATGGTCTTGCAGTCTCCTAGAGACTTCAGACCCACCGTATGACTTGGGCTTTCATTCCCTGATTGTAAAAGGTGTCTTGACGCAAGAGAGGGATGTCAATCCAACTGCCACAGTTTAGTTCTTAAAACCACCTGGACCCTAACATTCAAATCTTGATATCCCCACATCCATTTCTAGTCTTCTTTTTTCTTCCCTAGTTGTAGATCTTCTTTTCACTTCTCGATGTTAGCTTTCAGTTTAAAAGCAGTCTGTCTCAGCTGACCTTTTAGCAGCACTGGCTGCAGTGAGAACTGTGTCCAAAGAGGCAGCTAAAATCAATGTCTAAAACAGCCCAGCATTGGTACGTTAGCCAAGTCTCACAGTGGCTGATAAAACTCTGCTGAGCCTGTTTTTCTCTAGTGGTCAGGTTGCCAGTAACAATCGGGACCAAAAACAAAAGCTGCATTTTCAATCACTGCTGTTCTTTTCCTTTCTGTTTTATCTTGTGTTTGTCTTGTTTTCTCTTTATGGAAAGAAGGCCAGACTCCAGTCAGAAGACTCATTAACAGCCACATATCCAGCACCTCTCAGCTGATCTTTGCTTTTATTCCCATATGGTCATTGCCATCTTCAATCCAGGTTTCTGAGTTGACATCGTGAGTTGGGTAGAAGCCTCGTCCAACCGCCCATTCATGCTCTTTTGTGGCAGCTGCAGTTCATTCATTCGGAGGGCAGCCTCCATCCAGGATTAAAATCCTGGAAATGTAAGCTGCCATGGAAGGGACTGCATCTCGTGCAAAGTGGAAGAGCGCCCGTGGTACTTTGCTGGAGTAGAAGATACACCCCCTCTTAGGGCCATGTGCTCCCAAGACTTAGAGTATTTTGAAATTGAATCCATTCCAGGTTCCTCATCACACAACTCGTGCTCTATAAAAAAAGAGAAATGAAGATCACAGTTACAAAGAAAGGGTGGATGCAGTAGAAAACTCCTGCTCAGATTATTTTTTTTCAAATATTTTAGCTACAATTTTCAGATGATATCATAAAAACCTACAGTATTTTTAATTACAAATGTTGCTCTGGTACTGAGAATGAAGAGTCAGTACTCCAACTCTCAGTTCTGTTTGAAGTTGTATTGTATGGTAATAGGTTTGCTTCAGTATCTTTGACCCTCATCCCAAATAGATACAAATCCTAGGATGTTTGGCCAGTGAGAATTAAGCATAGAAATTACATACAGGTTCTCAACATGTGGCCCTAAATGTGGGATTCTGTTAGGCTGTTTTTCTAAAGTGTTTTTGAGAGAGCCACCGTTCAATTACACACAAGATTGATCGATGTTAAGGGATTTGGTAAAGTTGCAATAGTTAGAGTAGTAAAAACTCATTTGTCTGGAAATATGAGAGGAATTAAGTTATTATTCCCAGGCAAAAATCTAATTTGAGCAAGTACGGAAAGATAAGGTGAATACTGGTTTTTCTCTAAGAAAGCCATTGACCAAAGAAGGTAGATTCTGCTGTCAGTATGTCAGGCATCTCTGTATTATTGGGTTTATACATAATGAAAATGTACCAAATACTGCTGAAAATCCAGCAGATGGCACACTAAAGCCTTGATACTGGAAAGTGCCATCATCCAAGAGAAGGATAGTAACTGCACGGCAGGCTGAAAATTTAAAGTGCATGTGCAGACTGTGATGTGTAGGTCAGCCTTTAATAGCTAGGAAATTACTTAAAGAAACATTAAGAGGAAGAAATGGGATAAGACATCACATAAGTGATTATGTTAATTTTTTGCAGCTAATAATTTGTCTTGATTTGTAGTGACATTTACGATTATTGTGGTTTAGCC